TATATATATAGATACCGTACACAGAGAGACACAAAACGATCCAGGTAGAAATACAAGCGTCGGTGTTGTACTTCAGTCATTTTCCCTCTTCAATGGGCCCGCGTCTTCCTTTTCTCCAGAAATATTTTCCAAACCCATCACTTCTTCCTCTTCTCTCACACCGTGAGTAGGAAGAACAAAAAAAAAAGGGAAAAAAGAAAAGAAAATCAGATCGACTATGAAACGCCAATGCCGTTTCCTCCCTTCTACTCTCGTCTTCGTGCAGCACGAAAGGCGGCCCCCCGCCACACACCCTGGCGTTGAGAGAGAACAGCACCGAGTTAAGCCCAAAGCAACAAACACAATTCCATGCACGCAACTGTCTTTTTTTCTCCCCCTGGAGGAGATGGAGGAGGGGTGAGGGGTTTGTTCTACAGATGATTCTTACTATTCCCATTCGCTCTTTCATTCGCCAACTTTTTCTTTTCTTTCGTTTCTGTTTCGTACGTTCTTCTTCCCCTTTGCTTTTTTTTTGGTTTTTGGTTTCTTTTTTTTTTCTTTGTGCCTTTGCCACAGACGCATGTGTGGAAAGGGAGCCGGTGCCCTCCCCCCCCCTCTCCCTCTCTCTTTCTCTCTCGCCCGCTCACGCACCGTCGTTGGTATGGATGCCAATGTCACTACGATTACCACTAGCACTAACACTCCCGCCGCGTAACAGCAGCACAGTGATCAGGTATGTGCCAAACATTGCCACTAACACCACTACGAGCGGTATCCCGTTTTTCCCATCGCTTAAAACAGAAAAAGGGGAAACAGCAGCCCTACCGCCCTTCATTGGCGTTATACGCATCACAATATCCGCCGCTTCTCCGTCCGCAGGTGTGGGAATACCATTGTCACCAGTGTCATACGCAGCTCGTGCGGCAGCAGGATTAGCACCGGCGCCCCCAGGCATGCCCTTCATTGGCGTCCCCGTTGAATTGATGCCTGTGTTTGTGGGGATGGTGGCGTTCGAGGTGCTTGTGGGTGCGTCGTGGCGCAGCGCCTCGATGCCGAGACTCAGCGCGCGCAGCTCGCCCGCGGCAGTGGCCCCTCTGTTCCTCTCGGAGAGGTGCCGCGTGGACGGGCTGCTGCCGCTCTCCATCGCCGACGCCGGCGATGCGCGGCTCATTAGGCGCGTCTGTAGCGTTGTCCACACGAGGTGTGCGGTGGGTGGCACCACGACGACGCCGTGACGACCCGCCTTGCTGCTGTCCATCGTGACGCCCTCCATGTGCGCCTTGAGGCTGATCGGCGAGCCCCGCACAGACCGCTGCGCGCCCGACGCGACGAGCTCCCACACGCTGCGCACTACCTCTGTCAGCCGCTCGCCGCCAGCTACGGCCTGCACGATGCGCTCGTATGTCGGGCGCGCTGCTGCAAGAATGGCGTACTCAATCGCAAAGCGCTCCTGGTGGGGGTGGCTACCCGCAGCGGAGTGCGGCAGGCGACGCATCGTCGTTGTTGCGGCCTCACTCACCGCATCGGTGGCGGCGGCACGGAGGCCAAAGGTGATCTGCGCGCTACACGGGGTGCATGGATTGCCGGACGCATCCGTCAGCAGCAGTGCACCGTAGCGTGGCAGCACGTGGAAGGACTTTGGCGAGGACGACTTCACCTTGAAGATGACGCAGCTACACGCGGCTAGCACCGCCCCCTCTTGTCGCTGCCACGACAGAGTGATGATGTTGTCCATCGGCGGGTCGGGGAAGTAAAGCGCGTTGCAGGAAGCCACCAGCGTCATGGCTGGCAGATGATATGATCGGCTGCTAAGAGGGATTACGCAAGAAAAACCAATGTCAGAAGTACCACCAGAGCCGCTGTTGCTGTTATTACTACCGCAACGCACAAGTATCCTGACTCCTTTATGACTTTGAATATATATATATATATATATATAGTTATTTATTTGCGAGTGTGCAAGAGTATGTATGTGACTCTCACGCAATGGCACCTGTCAGTCTGACGTATGGGCCTCGTTCTTCTANATGTATGTGACTCTCACGCAATGGCACCTGTCAGTCTGACGTATGGGCCTCGTTCTTCTACCGCCCACCACCCGTTGCGTGGCACTGGCGAAGTGAGTCCCATATTCATCACCGCAAGTAATAAGAAAGAAAGAAAAGCAGATAGAGAGAATAAGTACCAAACGAAAATAAAAGCAGTAAAGAGGCGTATGCATGAACGCATGCACGCGCGCCAACACCCCCAGGGCAAGTATGCAGCAGAGCGGCTTTCAGACCGCATACGGGCAGATTCCCACTGAACAGCACACTCCGGTAAAAGAAAAACACACCGCAGTTGGAAGAGATGAGGTCTGGAATCAACCACAAGTCGTATGAATTGTCCTCTTCCCTTTTTTTTTTT